ATTATCATGACATCAACTAGCCGTTAGGCTATATGTTAATGTAGAGGCTTTAGAAAGTGTATCAAATAGGCTTTAAAAAATTGACTGCTGGGTTACTGTAACACACAAGCTTGGGTGTGACTTATTTCTATGTACATCCTTAGCAAACACATAAGGCGCTGTCAGAGGGAAAGAAAGAGACATCCTTCCTTCACATAGTCTCGTCTCGGGCTCTTCAGACAGCTTTACAGGAGTCGTGTGTGTGTCTGTGATCTGACTCTCTCCACAGACCGCTCTGAATGACCACATTAAAACACGCACTTGAAACGGACTAGTTTACTCCAGTAACCAGGACAATTTCCACTGGAGACTCCAGGACTGCATGAGTCCTGATACAAAAGCATCACACCACAGCTCGTGATCTTAGGAGGAGTTTCACAGCACAATAAAACCACTGTTAATCTCAACTCTTTAAGCATAGAGTCACACAACATTATTTTTTGTAATTTCAGCATAAGAGAACGCACTTCTTTCAACCAACTTCCTGTATGATCTAAAGTGGCAAAACATACTGATCTTTTCTCAGAATAATATTGTTCTTCTTCATTCTTGCGCAATGACTTTAACAGATGTTTTTTGGGAATTTAAGTGAATATATTTAGTCATTTCTCCTCAAGTTCACACACGTTCATCACCAGTGTTGGGGAAGTTACTTTTAAAAAGTAGTGTTTTCTCGTTACTCGTTACTTCTTAAAAAAGTAATCCGTTACTTTACTTAGTTACCCCCTTTGGAAAGTAACTTTTTATGTTACTCGTTACTTTTACGTTACTTTTATGTTGCTTGACTTTGGGCAGAACCCAATATCTGTTCCTAAATGTGTAGGCCTACATAAAATTCTACCATGAACTCTACTTATTGAAAAACTAGAAAAAAAAAACTAAAAAAAGAGAGAGATTTTGAGATAGAAAAAAAATATATATTTATTTAAATAACATTTGAAAAACCTGTATAAACTGAACACCAAAGCACAATATTAACTATTGAGCGGTGGTGACGCGTTCATGAAAAATGTCACAAAGAACCGGCAAAAGAAATGATTATGAATATCAAATACATTTCAATTGTTTATTAATAAACAAGTGTTTTCTTTGTCAGTCAGTTGATATGCCAATCCTTAATATTTGGTGTTTTAAATGCCTGTTTGAGGTCTCTGTGAAAGATTTAAAGCAGTCTTTTAGTGCCGCTTTCAGAGCGGTCTAGTCCGAAGAACTGTTACGTCCATATTGTTTCTTTCCTCATAAATGCGAACACGAAAAAGTCAATACAATTAATATTTTATGTTCTGTGGAGAGCCAACCCTTCTTCATCCGGTGGGAGTATTACTTTTGGTTTGCGCAGTGTAATTCACAGAATTGATTGCTCTGCTACCAGCCTCTGTCACGGAGCTTGTGACTATTGCAAGCGCGCAGCTGAGGAGACAGTGTTGCTGTCAAATCTGTCCATGGGAAAAGTAACGTTGTGCGGAATTGAAAAAGGAACTACGTTTCGTTACCAAATTCTCAGTAGTAACGCGTTAAACTACTTTTTACCCGAAAAAGTAGTTACGTTACTGTAACGCGTTACTTTGTAACGCGTTACACACAACACTGATCATCCTTGTATTGTAACTATCGTTACATTAGCCTATATGAACTGCAAAAGCTTTTTTTTTGCATCTATGCGCGATTAGACTAAAGAGAACGCGCTGTATGTGAATGTCCTGATGCACACACTCATTCATTCATTCCATTCCAATGACGCACACACACGACGCGCAGAAAGACGCGCAACAGTATCGTGTGGCCAGACAGCGCGCCGGAATGGAATTCTCTTGCGCACTTGAACAACAATAACACAAACCATTATGCCAAAGTCTCCGACTACGGAAGCCTGTTAACTCAAAGGCGCAGTGCTTTCTTGCAATTGGGTCGGTTCATGTTCACACCGTAAACGAACCGTACCAGAGTTCGTTTGGAACTGTACCGAGACCACCTCTTCCAGACATCCCAAGTCTCCCGGAAGTTCCGGGAGTCTCCCGCATATTGCTAGCCTCTCCCTGATGCCCGCAAATTAGTTCAAATCTCCCGGAATCTAGAGCGAGATAGAACATACTGCGCCCAGAGCTTAGAAAAACTCATATTAGAAAACCCCCCCCCCCCCCCCCCACCCCCCCCACCCCCCCCCCCCCCCCCCCACCCCCCCCCCCCCCCGTCAACAATCCAGTCACCAAGATATACCTCCCTGAAATGACTTCTTGCAGGTTGGGATGTCTGCGTCTTCAGCTGGGTCTCGGTTCGGTTGTTTGGTCCGCACCCGAGTTCGATTGCTGTATTCACACACCTGCCCAAAAGGTCCGCACCAAGGGGGGAAATGAACTAGAGTTCGATTCAATCGAACCAAACAAGGCAGGTGTGAATACACCCTTATATTGACTTGTAAGAGCTTGATTAGCTGGTTCAGGTGTGTTTAATTAATGTTGGAGCTAGAGATGCACCGATGTATCGACCAACAATCGGTATCAGCCGATAAAAGCAATTATTTTCACTATCGGCCAATTGTTTAAAAACAGCCAATGATCAGGGCCGGTTAGCCTATATCCTTGTCAATCAAAAGGGTGCAGTAAAACATGACCGACTGCAACTCACACTGTGTGTAAAGAAAATCTTTCGTGTTGAGTTAATTAGGGCAAGTTAATGTGACAATAACACAGCTAAAAACAGCTACATAAAAGCAGACTCCATTTGAACCCATGAATCACCCGTAGTTCAAGCCAGGGTTGCCAGATCTGCAGTTTTTTCCTTTACTAAACATTATTTGTAGCGCGCCTCTCGCCCAATTAATCGCAAATAGCTCTGTGCTTTGATACTTCTAAAAAGAAACAAAGTGTCATCTTTATCACGAAATTCAAACAATAAATGCCGTTTTGGCGCTCTTAAATGTGACGTGACAGCCTCAGTTCTAGCAGCAGCGCAGAGCGCGAGTCTATTCTTCCACTTTAATACAAATTATATCTAGAAAAACATGCATGAATATCAGAAGGTAAGTTGAAAGTTGCAGTACAACTTCCCGAAATCCGTATCATGTCTCATGTAATCACTCAATCTGTGTTTTAACCGTGGAAAGATGTCAATAAAGCTTGTGTGTGAAGCTTAAAACTTGCTTGTGAACAATTTTACTTAATGTTGCATTTAGCCTACCTCAGGAAAGTCAACCGTTTGTTAGTTAGCTTTAAAAAAAAAAAAAAAAAAAAACTAGAGGAGCTTATTTATATTTACTGTTAATTATATGTATGTTTGAATAAATTTGCCATAAAGGCAAGGCAAGTGCTTATGAAAACTACCTTACCGGTATATGTGTAACTGAGTTGTATACAGACATTTCAGCTTTTATTTGTAAATATAAATATTATATCTGTAAATAAATAGCAGTTGAATATAATAGCTCTGTTGTTAATTTTAACCTCTAATATTATAGTGTAGCAAATGAGAGGGTTTTCTGTATAGTTTGCAGCATTATTAGGGAGAGATTTTTTATCCATAAGAAAAAACGGTAACGCTTTAGATTACAGCCCGGAAAGTACTGGGTAATTAAAGCAATTTTACAGCGTAACCTTTGTTAATTATAGTGTACCTATAACGTACTTACAATATAAGTATAAGGGAACAATATTTTAAGTTTGGGGAATAAAGGGGTAACAACCAGGAGAATTAAAAAATGATTAGTATTGTGAGTATTATAGAACTAAGGGGTACTTATTCTACTATTATGAAATAACAATCTTACATTTGTGATCAATTTAGCGAGAACATACACTGCGTACCTTTTTGAAATAATGGTGAACCAGTACATACTGTATAGGCTTTATAAATAGATATAATAGATTATGTACCCTGTAATTTTTTAAATGTAATCTTTTTAACAAAAGTGCACTGAAAACGAAAACTATTGCAACGTTTGCTTAAATATTGGGGAAAGATTCTCTTGTTTCATGTAGTGGTGCTTGTTACCCTCTTGTTCCATGTAGTTACAGGGTAAGTGTGACATTGCGGGCTGTAAATTAAAGTGGTGCTTGTTACCCTCTTGTTCCATGTTACAGGGTAAGTACAATAAAAATGCATACACAATCTTATATCACTGACTCGGAAACCTTTATTTATTATACAAGCACCACTTACCCTGTAACCACATGAAACCAGATATATGTCCCAGTATTTAAAAATATTGCAATAGTCTTAGCTTTTCTTGCCTTGAAACATGTTAGCCCAAACTTAAACATCTGCACTTTTGCTATAAAAAATAAATAAAATAAAAGTATAAATGCATAGATATGTACCCTGTCATTTTTAAAAAGCCTATACAGTATGTATTGCCTTGGTACACAATTATTACAAAAAGGTATGCAGTGTATGTTCTCGCTAAATTGCTCCCAAATGTAAGATTGTTGTATAATATAGTAGAATAAGTACCCCTACTTACAGTATAAATAATTTTTTAATTCTCCTGGTTGTTACCCCTTTATTCCCCAAACTTTACATATTGTTCCCTTATACTTACATGCAAGTACTTTATAGGTACACTATAATTACCGAAAGTTACTCTGTAAATTCCTCTTAATTACACAGTACTTTCCGGGCTGTGATCTAAAGCGTTACCGAAAAAACAAACTATCGGTATCGGCATCGGCCGATATTCTGAATAATCGGCTATCGGTTGAGAAAATGCATATCGGTGCATCTCTAGAGATGAGCACTGCAGGACAGGACCCTCCAGGTGCAGGATTGGACACCCCTGACCTAGAACACCACAACCCAACAGAAAACCCTAGAAATTGCATAGCGACACCCTGGCAACCTCCCACAACAACTTAGAGTCTTGCATTTCTGTAGAATAAAATAAAAATAATAATTGTTTATGATTGAATAGATCTTTGTTGTATTTAATATTTATTGAGGCTGTAACATTGCTATATTGTCTTTTATAGGCATGAGCGGATCAACACACGGAAAACCCTGATCATTGAGATCTGTCCTGATGATGATCTGGTGAACCTGGAGGTTTTAGATGAGGTATTTAGGATCTAGCTGGAGTTTAAGCAAAGGCTTTCGCTTTCTTAATCAGTCAACATGAAATCAAAATTTATCGACATCTTATTTACAGTTCCTGGACTTATTGAGCATGATCAGTGCATGTAATTTCAAAGAAGATTAAAAATGCCTGATATCATGAAAATAAAAATAGCTTCTCCCAACAAGGCGGGGTATTTGTACTTGGTGTAAATAGACACTTCATATTTGATGTTAAAATGTAATGAAATTCAATTACAAACTAATACTAAACTGTCTGCTCAAATTATGTGAATTTATTGAGTCTCTGGTAGTATACCGGTACACAACAAAGAAACATTTCCATCTCCAGCATCTCTCTTTTATAGGAAACAATCATTACACATCTTCAGAAGCGGTATCAGGATCTGCAGATCTACACGTATGTTGGTGATATCCTCATAGCCCTTAACCCCTTCCAGAACCTGAGCATCTACTCTCCACAGGTGAGATGAGCAACATCAGGCTGTGCAATAGGGCATAATTAATGTCTAATGCATACCATTTTTGATCAAATGCGTAATTCATGTGGCATCCACTTTAAGTTGGCTTTCTGAATCAAAGCTTCCTTCTAGAGAGTGAACTAAGAGGTAGTTTCCTGTCTGAAAATGTGTCTGTTCTCAGTTCTCAAAGCTCTATCATGGGATGAAACGCTCCACTAACCCCCCACACATCTTTGCCACTGCTGATGCAGCCTATCAGAGCATGGTCACCCTCTCCAAAGACCAGGTGTGTCTGCACGGCGTATATACATATCTTACATATACGTGGTTCACTATTGGAAGCTTGTTTCCGCCACAGAATAAAACATTTTATAAGATAAATGCGACTTTACATCTGAGAAATAAAGTCAGAATTGCGAGACTTTATATCTCACAATTCTGACTTTATAACATGCAATTGACCCTTCTCAGGGAGCTTGATTGACAGGTGATCTGACCAATCATACTTCGCCATCCGCCATTTTGTCCGACAAAGCAGTCAGGAGAGTTAGTAGATTAACATTGGAGGATTTGAACTTGAAAAACGGTGTGTACTGATGCCTTTCTGCGGTTAAAACAACATTCCTTCTGATGTTCAGTCATGTTTATTTGATGCTATAAATGAACTAGAAGGAAGAGATGATCGGATCACGAGCAGCTTTTACTGATGCTCTACAGCGATCTGTCACGGCACATTAAAAGAGCCACAAAACGGTATTTATTGTTTCAATTTCTTTTAAAAAAAAGACCAAATTTGAAAGGTGAGACTTTGTTTAATATGTTTAATATCAAAAGTAACCGAAAAGTAACCTGGTCTGTCTGCGTGTTGTCAGTCCGCGATGTATTTTTCACTGCCTGAGAACATGGAGTGTGTGTGTGTGTGTGAGCAGCGTAGCTTGTCGGACATAGCGACAGTAACTAAGGGGGGCGGGTCTTTGCGAACGGTCAATTGTGACTTTTTTATCACACATTTGTGAGATAAAAAGTAATTTCTCACAAAGAATTATGAGAAAAAAGGTTGCAATTGTGAGATAAAAAGGCAAAATTATTTTTTTAAATGTTTTATTCTGTGGCGGAAACAAGCGTCCATAGTTTACTGACACAGTAGGCTGTCTGTGGTCTCTTTTTTAACAGTTTTTTTTTACACTAGTTTAATATGTTGGCTAACAATGTAAGTAAAAAAATTTGGGGTCAGTAAGATTTGATACGTTTAATACATTTTCAAAAAATGTCTTTGATTGTTTGAGAGATAGAGAAATGAATACTTTTATTCAGCAAGGATGCATTGGTGCAGAATTAAACCTGAAGACATTTAAGAATGTTACAAAATATTTTTATTTCAAATAAATTATGTTCTTTACAACTTTCTATTCATCAATGAATGCTGAAAAATCCATGATCGCATCAAACATATTTAGTGTTTGTTTGTTTTTTTACATTGTAAATTGTACTCATAAGAAAATTTTCTTGAGCAGCAAATCATCATTAGAATGATTTCTGAAGGATAGTGTCACACTGAAGACTGGAGTAATGATGCTGAAAATCCAGCTATGATCACAGGAATAACTTACATTTTAAAATATATTAAAATAGTAAACAGTTATTTTAAATTGTAATATTATTTCAAGATATTACAGCAGCCTTGGTGAGTATAAGACGCTTCTCTCAAAAACATTAAACCCAAAACTTTTGAATGGTAGCTAGTGTACATGCATCACAAAATTGGTTTTGTATTTTTAACAATAATAATATATATTTTTGCCACATCACAAGTTACTGTGTTATAACATTATGTGGTGTAAATTAGATTTTGTTCCATTTTGGGGGAATAACAAACAAATCATCCTCTTATTGGTGTTGCTGGGTATGTTAATCTATGCATGTAGCTCTGTACATTGTGTTTATATGTTTTCATTGTTTTTGTCTGTGAAGTGCATAATCATTAGTGGAGAAAGTGGAGCTGGTAAAACGGAGAGCGCTCACCTCATCGTCCAACATCTCACATTTCTGGGCAAGGTACTCACAATATTGATACACTACCTAAATCAATTCATAAATACTCATCATATGCTTCAACGAAATACTTCAGTAACCGATCTTTCATGTTTGATTATGGGATTCTTGATGATTTTCCCTCTAGTGATGTAATCAATATGGCTGTAAAATTAGCAGATTAACAATCTGGGTCTGGCTCTTCAAACATCATCTGTTGTTTTCTATTTCTAGGCTAACAATCGTACACTTCGTGAGAAGATTCTTCAAGTGAATCCCCTGGTGGAGGCGTTTGGTAATGCATGCACGGCCATTAATGATAACTCAAGCCGTTTTGGAAAGTACCTGGAGATGAAGTTTACACCCACGGGGGCGGTGATGGGTGCTAAGATCTCTGAATATCTTCTGGAAAAATCCAGAGTCATCAAACAGGCTACGTGAGAAACCACTTTGCCCAGATCTTTGGCCATCAGAACGTTAAAGTCAACATTGAACACTGTTTGCAACCCTTTTTACTTCTGTAATGTGAATTTTTTTATTAACAAGATAAACATGTAGGGAAGGACTTGATTTTACCCATAGGGAATTGATGGGATGGTGAAAACTGGTCTTTGACAGGTGACATCAACCAAAAAAAATAGAAAGACGTTTTTCTTTGGAATTTTAATGTTTGGGGCCGAATCACTCCCCATAAGACCGCTCATGTTGACTTTAAACTTTTCAACAAGTCTTTCCCACATTTTTGCTTACATATGTTATTCTTCACATCTTACATTTTCTTTTGCAGGGGCGAGAAAAACTTCCACATATTTTACTATATCTATGCTGGTCTTTACCACCAAGACAACCTCAAGAAATACAGGCTACCCAACAAAACTGCTCCCAGGTTCTCACAAACTCAGTGCTTAAAAAGATGTGTAATTCTGAATCTAGTTAACATATCTACAATTAGGATCAGAGATTCATGTTACTTTTTTTGGTCTTTCAGATACATTGATTGTTTTAATGGTAAAGTAATGCAGGAGATCATCTCTAGCAAACTGTACAAGGAGCAATTTGGTGACATTCAGGACTGTTTCCGTATCATAGGATTTACTGAGGAGGTACAGCTGAAATCCTGATTTATATTTCTTAATCATATGCAATTATGCAATAATTATTAAAGGGATTGTTCCCTAAAAAAGAATGTCTCTCATGTCGTTCCAAACATGTATTCATTTCTTTCTTCTGTGGAACATAAAGAAGATTTAATAAAATGTAAATTAGTTTTTTTGTCCATAAAATGAAAGTCAATGGGGTCCAAATTTGTTTGGATTTGGATGGGGTCCAAATTTGTTTTAAATCCTAAGCTTCCTTAGAATATCTCCTTTTATGTTCCACAGAAGAAAGGTCATACCGGTTTGAAATGACATAAAGAAGGATTTTAATATTTTGGTTGAACAATCCCTTTGAGAAACAATTTTGTTAGTCAGGCTTTCTTCCATGTTTTTTTGCATACTTCAAAATAAAATATTTTGGTAACACTTTACTTGAAGGGGTGTGCATAAGACTGACATGAGACCTTCATAATCATGACATGACACGTCGTGAATATGAAGGAGGTTTTATGCATGTTTATGACAACTAAGTGTCATTCGCTCAATTATGACATTTTTAATGCAAATATGACATTGTTTGAGATGTCTTTGTCATGACACCTTGACATAAACCAATACATCATAACCTGTCAGTGTCTTTGTCATGACAACTTGACATTACTAAGACAACACAACCTGTCATAAATATGTCATAAACATGACATAGCAGATTAATTATCAAACTTAAGAAAGCACTTAGTTTTATGGGTAACATTACATTAAACTGTCAGGTGGTTGGTTTTGACATTGGCTGTCATGAGGCCATTATAACATTTTAATGACAAATTCAATCTGTACCACTGTAGTTGAGGTCAAGAAAAATATTCATGACACAGTTATAATGGCCTCATGACAGCCAATGTCAAAACCAACCACCTGACAGTTTAATGTAATGTTAACCCATAAAGCTAAGTGGTTTCTTAAGTTTGATAATTAATCTGCTATGTCATGTTTATGACATATTCATGACAGGTTGTCTTGTCTTAGTAATGTCAAGTTGTCATGACGAAGACACTGACAGGTTATGATGTATTGGTTTATGTCAAGTTGTCATGACAAAGACACTGATATGTTATGATGTATTCGTTTATGTCAACGTGTCATAACAAAGACATTTCGAACAATGTCATATTTGCATTAAAAATGTCATAATTGAGCGAATGACACTTAATGACAGTTGTCATATACATGCATGAAACCTCTTTCATATTCATGACATGTGTCATGTCATGATTATGAAGGTGTCATGCCAGTCTTATGCACACCCCTTCAAGTAAAGTGTTACCAATATTTTCTATCTTGATATACAGGAAGTGAATTCTGTGTACAGAATTCTAGCAGCCATTTTAAATACAGGAAATATTGAGTTTACATCCACCAGCTCCCAACATCAGAGCGACAAGAGTGAGGTGCCCAACTCTGAGGCCTTAGATGATGGTAAGTGCCTGATTATTTTCATGAATGTTAGTTTCTAGGTTTGCATTTACGGAACCCACATTTTCCTCATGACATAAATCTCACAAATGTTGTCAGTAATAATTTGGCAGACAAAAAGCAAGTTACAGATCCATTCCTGATGTTCTTCTCTCTGTATGTGCTGTGGACAGCGGCCGCTCTGCTCAGTATCGGCTCTGAGGAGCTTCAGGAAGCTTTGACCTCCCACTGTGTGGTAACCCGAGGAGAAACCATCATTCGCACCAATACTGTGGACAAGGCCACTGATGTGAGAGACGCCATGTCTAAAGCTCTGTACGGACGTCTCTTCAGCTGGATTGTGAACCGCATTAATGCTCTGCTACAGCCTGACACTAACATCTGGTATGGCAAAATAGTATCACCATCATCATGTTTGCATCCTTCAGTCTAATGTTAAAATATACCAAAGCCATTTTACAAAGGCCTTTAGTAATACATTGACACAGCTTAGGCCAATTTGAAATTTCATGATGGTCTTAAAGGAATAATTCACCCAAAAATGAAAATACTGTCACCACCCTTGTGAAAAACTTGTGTTGTGTTTTTCAAATCTTAAATGTATATTGTTAAAAAAACTGTACTTTCATATAATATAATAATAATTAAATAAAATGCCACTTCAGTGTACAGTACTTAAAAAGAGTACACTTCCATGGCTGTTTTTAAAAGTGTACATAAAGGGTTAGTTCACCCAAAAATGAAAATTCAGGGAACTATATTCTCTGAAGGCGAAGCACTCTCAGGTGCTGCAGTTATCACTCCGCCCAAGTAGCAGTGCTTCGCCTTCAGAGAATATAGTTCCCAGTATTTATACGGTTAAAATATGTCTGTGTCTCATGTGACTTTGTTTTTTGTACACTCTGACTATACAAATCACAACATGTAAATAGGAAAATGTTTGCGTTATTTTGTCACTTATTGGGATTAGTATGCTAGCTGCAACCATTTACATCCAGTATTTGTGCTAAGCTAGGCTAGCGGTGGGTGCGTCAAACAGACTTATAGCACGCACGGAGATGAAAAAGGTATGTATGGACTTATCTAACTCTGGGGGATAAGGTGAATAGGCTAAAGTCCCAAAAAGTCGGAGTGTTCCTTTAAGGTTGAGCCACTGTAGTCACTTGGACTATTTTAACGATGTCTTTACTAACTTTCTGGGCCGGCAGGTTTCAATTACATATAAGCCTATGGAGGAGTGAGACAGCTCTCAGATTTAATAAAAAATATCTTAATTTGTGTTCCGAAGATGAACGAAAGTCTTACGGGGTTGGAACAACATGAGGGTGAGCAATTACTGACAGAATTTTCATTTTTGGGTGAACTAACCCTTTAAAGGAGTCCTTCAGCACTGCCAAAATGGGCTTTAAAGAAACATGCCGACTTTTTGGGACTTTAGCTTATTCACCGTATCCCCCAGAGTTAGATAAGTCCACACATACCCTTCTTATCTCCGTGCGTGCCGTAACTCTGTCTGACGCACCCACCACTAGCCTAGCTTAGCACAAATGCTGGAGGTAAACGGCTCCATCTAGCATTCTGCTCCCAATATACGCTGATTTCACGCAGCCGCCATTTTGAAATCGAAAGCGAGGCTCCGGTGGGAAGAACCCCGGAAGTACAGATAGACAACAATGCCTTGGGACTAACAACCTGAAGCTGCTGCCGGGATTTACACGGATGGATGTGTCAGGGTTCTGTCACTTCTGTCTAGTCTATTTCTTGGTTTTGTGACAGAGCCCTGACACTCCTGTTTTGTCTTGTCTGTGTGCCTTGTTTCATGTGCTTTCATGTTTTGTATTGTGCTGTGTAGCACACAGCTTGTGTTTTACACTAGCTGTGTGCTTTCATGTTGTCATGTTTTGTGTGAACACGTGACTTATGAGTGTTTTCATTAGCTGCGTATTCATGTCTCGTTTTGTGTGAGCACATGGCTGGTGATTGGTTTTACTGGCCATGTGCTTGTGTTCAAGGTGTGAGCACATGGCTTGTCATGTATGTTTCCTTGTGCCATGTGCTCTCCTGTTGATTGTCTAGCCCCTCCCATCTTGTTACCTGATTATTGATTCATTTGCCCCACCTGTCCTCCCTCGTTACCTCCTTTGTTTGGTCTCCCTATTTATTCTCCCTGTGTTTGCAGTCCTGTGCTGTTTCGTCGTTGAATGGACCTCTTGTGTCCTGCCTAGATGCTGTTGCCAAGTTCAGTCAAGTCAAATCAAGTCTGTCTGGTTTTCCCCAGCGGGGGAATTTTTGTTTGTATTTGTTTTATTTTTTATACTTATTAAAAACCCATTTTTCCTGCAATTGAGTCCTCGCTTCATCTCCTCAACCCTGACAGGATGTTAATATTCAATATAGGATATGTCTATAGTTCGTTCCTGCTTCTTTTTTTACGTTCTGAATTCTATATAAAAAAATGATTTTATTTATAAATGAATTTCACTGTATATAGTCTAAAGTATGAAAGAAATGTATGTACATTTTTAGAATAACTAATTTCTACATTAAACACAACAATACGCCTTCGCATTCGCGACTCTCCTATGATTAAAGGCGACACTTCCGGTTTTTTTCCCACCGGAGCGATTTCAAAATGGCGGCTGCGTGAAATCAGCGTATAAGTGACAAAATAACGCCAACATTTTCCTATTTAAATGTTGTGATTTGTATAGTCACAGCGTGTACAAATAACAAGGTTACATGAGACACAGCCATCTTCTAACCGTATACATACTGGGAACTATATTCTCAGAAGGCGAAGCACTGCTACTTGGGCGGAGTGATTAGCGCAAGTTGCGATAGTCTTTTCTTCCCTATTTTGTATATATATCCCAGTGAAACGGCTTCTCGAACAAGAACAAATGTAAGGCGGGGCTTGATTTTGTTCGTGTGCAATTGACTGGATGGTTGTATAGTTGTGATTTGCCATTTCTGTGATCTCATGTGAGTGACACATGAGTGGTCATTTAAGATGGTCACCAGCCAAACCAATAGATATAACAACCTTTAACCTGCTGGTAGAAAAAAAGTCTTCCCATCCTGGTTAAGACAGGCTTTTTCAGCAATGTACTATTGAGCTCATCTTTGTGGATTGACTTTTATATCAAGTTAATTTAAAGATAATTTAAAGGTAATTTCTAAACTTTCATCCCAGTCTCCCTCCTTGAATCTCTCCGTTACGGATGCGTTTACATGCGCAAGCATCGTCTCCAGCGATGACCTCCAGTCTAACCAGCTCAGAATATTAATATCCACAGCAAAAGAAGAAAAGAGCTATAAAAAAGAGGGTTGTATAAATTTTTGATACAGAGTTACATTGAAAAAAATAATATGCAGATGATTAAAAAGACTTCAGAGAGAGTGGAAAAGCCGTTCATTGATCCGAGTGAATCCTGTCAGACTTCAGCCACGGGCTTGTCAGAGAAACTCACGTCTTCCACCCCGATACACACAATCCAAATTCTGCCATTTCCACTCCAATCAGCAGCGCATTCAACATTATTGCCACTAATAACCTGTTAGCGGGAGCAGAAGGTGACCTCTGGTCGCTGTCTGAGGAGTTTGGAGGAGATCGCGATTGGCTGAATGTTCAGAGACGAGAGGACCAGCTCTTTGTAAATTGAAATGACATGCTGAAGCAGACCTGTGTTTTTAAAGGTCTTTGTTTCTGTGTTTTCTTGGTTGACAGGTTGTAAAATATTTAGTTGTTTGGGTCATTAGCGTGGTTAAGGCCTTAATGTGTTGTGACGGTCAGCTAATGTTTGGCTCTGTGTGTCTTTGAAGTGCGGCTGAGAGTGGAATGAACGTGGGGATTTTGGACATCTTTGGTTTCGAAAACTTCAAGAAGAACTCATTTGAGCAGCTGTGCATCAACATCGCTAACGAACAGATCCAGTTCTACTTCAATCAACACATCTTTGCCCTGGAACAGGTAAGACGTTCTCTGTGCACAAACAACCTTAAGCAGGTGTATGTTAGCTCAAGTTAATCCTAAACCCACCACCAATATTTGTCCTGGAATACATCTGTATCAGTGTGCATAGCAAAGAAAGAAAATGGTGTGAAATATGTAATGATATTTTCTCCTCAGTAGAATCTCTGTGCCTCTAGAACCATTGTTTTGTCAATCAAGTAACCTGACATTTTCTTATGACTTATGAATTAGACAAATCAGTCATGTCATATGTGGCCTCAAACGATTTTTATATTTTTGTTATTATAAAACTGTACTTTCAAATAATATAAAGGTAAGTGCACCTACACTTTGAATAGCTTTTTCTTAAAGTCCCCCTGTAGTGAAAATCAAGCTTTTAATGTATATGTCTGTGGTGTTTTTAAAATCCTTTAAGACAAACCATGTTTAAATTCATAAGTCGACAGCATTGCTGAGTATTTTCTTCTTAAAACTGCAGTGAACCAAAGACAGTCTCAAAAACACGGTTTGAAATCGCTGGTGTTTCTGACGTCACAAACTACCTTGTAACCAATCAGATCAACGTGTGACCAGTGGATCTCTGAGCTGAGTGAGTGAGTGGAGGCGGGGCTCATTTGCATATTCATAGAACCACGTATACTAAATGAGGCAAGGGTGTAGAGTTACATTCAAGCTATTTTAAGGCATGACGAAATTTTTTCACGGAAAAAAAACATTTAAATATGTAATTTTGGTGATCAAAGATGAGTTTAATGTGATACAATTATTGACTACAGGGGGACTTTAACAAACTTATGTACGCTTTTAAAAAGTGCATTTTGTGATGTCAAATGTAAAGTTTTACTTTCACGTACATTTGATATATTTTGTTTTAATAAACTTTTTTCATGACTTAATGAAGTACACTTGATGAGTTGACTAACATAAAGCAAATGCAAGTGTGTTAATCGAGTGTGTTATGCAATATTGCATTCATAATTAATATATTTTCAATGTACTGCATCATTACAAATGTGTAATTACAAAATGAATACATAAAACACAAGTTTTAATAGAAATGGCATTAAAGTATATTTTAGTTTACCATAAATGCTTGTCAGTTGCATTTAACATTACAGTTAGTTCACACTTATATGTGTGTGTATATATATATATATATATATATATATATATATGCACAATTTAAGGGTACAAGTATTGTTTTGCTTTGTTTCACACACAATCTATGATGATATAATGAATTCTGCATGTACCATCCTTTATTCACATATATTTTTAATTTCAGATCACATTTGTATATAAAAATTCTATATGATTATTTTCTGATTCCCTCCATTTTATGCACAAATATAGGTAATATATAAAACCTTGTTAATAATTGTAGCAAAAACATTGTTACACTCTAAAAAATGCTGGGTTGTTTCAACCCAAATTTGGGTCAAATATGGACAAACCCAAATGTTGGGTTAAAAATGTAATTTAAAATTTTAACCCAACTTTCAGTTTCAACTGTAAATGTTTTAATTACATTTTAACCCAACATTTGGGTTTGTCCATATTTGACCCAAATTTGCGTTGAAACAACCCAGCATTTTTTAGAGTGTAATAAGATCTTTTAACATCTCTACACGTTCTTGTTGATGTTAAGGTACAGAATACAGTACATAACACGTTTGTGTGTTTGTTCAGATCGAGTATCAGAGTGAGGGTGTAGATGCCAGTCTGGTGGAGTACGAGGACAACAGGCCCATTCTAGACATGTTTCTTCAGAAGCCCATGGGTTTACTGTCTCTCCTGGACGAGGAGAGCCGTTTCCCACAGGCCACTGACCAAACACTCGTTGGTAAGACTTTCTCCTTAGCGTTTCATCATTGCTGTAAATGCCGCATTAGTACTCGTTCATGTAAAGTTACTTACATGATGTTCAATATACATTCTTTTAAAGTAATGCTATAGAAAACCAGTATTAATTGACAAGTTCTCATTGTGTTTAAATATGTTTTCCATGTTTGAGATGATATGTACGTGAGATGACTATAACTTTTCCAGTTATTTTGATAACTGTTTTGTACCATGTTCTGATGAATGCTGAAGATGTGTCAGTTTGATAAGATTCTCCACTCACCTTCAGTGTTTGTAATAAAGATAAGTTTCAGGATAACCTGAGAAACAAGTACTTCTGGACACCCAAGCGTGTGGAGCTTTGCTTTGGGATCCAGCATTATGCGGGCAAGGTAAAGAGCTTGATTTCATAAAATCTCACTCACTTTTTACTAAAAGATGACATATAATGCAGTAATAAGTTCAATCAAATTCATAGCTCTGTTAGGTTGATTTTAATAATTATTAATGCACCGCACAGCAGTTTTTAGATGTAATATATGTAAAACAATATAGATAATATAGGTGTCATGGGTTGCTGTAGCTTAATCCGCAAGAAGAGATGAGTAACAGAACGAACAATGAAACAAGCAAGAATTCAACACAATCCATACATTTTAACACAAGACAATGATCTGAGGAAGACTTAAGGCTTAAATACACAGAGGAAAGATCATCAACAGAACAGGGAACAGGTGTGGACTAATTAGAAACCATGACAACCAATGAACACAGGCAAAACAGTGACAATGAATAAAACAGACTAGAAACTAAACAAGACGTTTTTGAAGGAAGACTCTTGTGTTCATTTAGTCAAAAATACAGTAAAAATAGAAGAAAATATAATATTATTACAATTTATTACTAGTTTAATTTACTCTAGTGATGGCAAATCTGAATTTTCAGCATTATTACTCCAGTCTTCCATGTCACATGATCCTTCAGAAATCATTTCTAATATGCTGATTTCTTATTATTATCTATGTTGAAAATTATTAGGGAAACATAATACATTTTTTGAGAATGCTTTAATAAATCATAAAGTTCAAAAGAACAGCATTTATTTTAAACAGAAATATTTTGTAACATTATACATGTCTTTGCTGTTATTTTTCATCGATTTAATGCATCATTGCTGAATAAAAGTATTAACAAATCTTTTCACATGTAAAGATGTGTAATGATTCTGTTTATTGAAGTAATTGTGTTTCTCTGTCAGGTCTTGTATAACGTCAGTGGTTTCCTGGAGAAGAACCGAGACACTCTTCCCGCAGACATCGTGGTGGTTTTGAGAACGTCAGAGAACAAGCTTCTGCAGCAGCTGTTTTCCAGTCCTCTGACTAAAACAGGTACCAGAATCATTAGACATTCATCCCGTGAGCTGTTCATGTCACGTCTGCGGTGTCCCTTCTCTCGCCTCTCTAACCAATCAGACTCGATTGTCGGGTCAAATACTGTGGTGCCAAAGAGCATCTGGGAGGTTTGAACAGTGTCATTTTATTGGAAAAATTCAATTCCTTGCAATGCTTCACAGCCCATTTTCACCCTCCAGAGGTCACCGGGTCATGTCAGGGCCAATGGGTGATAGGAATTGGCCTACATTAAAATTCCTGATGGTGGATTGTAAAATGTTTCGATTTGTTGGTGTGAATGTTTGTTGTAAAACATAAAGCAATCTTTTTAAAGTGATGTTCACACTTCAGCCCAGACACCTGTTGTAATAAGATTGACATTCTTTGTCATTATGGCCTTGTTTACACCTGGTATTAAGATGCGTTTCGGTCGTTCGGATCACAAGTGGACGAGGGAGACACATTCCCGTTTACACCTGGTGTTGTAATCCGTCTCTTTTGTCCACTTTCAACCACTTCTGTCCTGATTTCTTTGAGGGGAGAGTCTATGGGCGGGTGAATGTATGGGTTTTTTCAGATCTTTCGATATAATGGACAAAATAAGCTCACTCAATTTACATAAGAAACCCGTCCGGAGATGACGGAAAAACATACGGAGAGCATCAGCTTTCATTTCTGCTCTGATAGACACAAGACCAGCCGAACGCTGTGAGTGTGTGTTAGAAATCAGGAATGGTGAGAGAACATTGTGCTTGGTATGTTTTTCATATTCAAACCAAACTTTGGTCTCCAGCCGACAAAGTTTAAATCCCATCCGGCTAGAGGTCTTCTCATAATGTTCACTCATTAGATCAGTAGACGGTCTTTTGTGGCTGTTTGAACACATTCAACCTCATGAGTGTTTACACTACGAAAGCAATCCGGTCGAATGTGTTTTCAACTACCTCTGGAAGTGGTCGAAAGTGGACAAGCTCAAAGCGTTTTAGACCCGTTTACTCCTGTATTTAGCGTCGTCCACTTGTGATCCGATCGACCAAAACGCATCTTCATACCAGCTGTAAACAGGGCCTTACACACATCACTGAGGTCACATTATTGAGGATATGTCCACACTAGTACATTTACGTTTTAACATGGTGTTATAAAATGAAAACGATCCTCGTCCATACTGGCTGCGTTTCAGAAAAGATCTCCATCCACACTACACGACCGAAAACGCATGTCACGTGACCATTCATGAACACTGGGCATGCGAGTTCCATGTAGGGCTTCTGCCGCTTGAAATGAGATCTGTTGCCGATTGTTCTAATAGGCAGCTTCAGTATTATAAAATGCAGTTTAACTGTACAATGGCTGCTAAAAAGGACAACAAAGTCAGCAAAGCTTGCAGTTTCGTCTCCATGTTATTGTTTACGAGGCTGGTCTGTTATTGTCTTGGTCTGGTAGCGTAATGGTCATACTTGACGAATCAGGGAAGGATACGCAATGATCCAGAAGACCCAATCGGGGAGCGAAAGTGGGCAGCCACGCCTTCGTTTTCAAAAATCTCTGTTTTGCTTCATCTGCACTGAAACAGCGTTACCAAAAGTCTCTGTTTTCGAGGGTCGAAAAAACGCCGGAGTAGTGTGGACGCCCGGCGTAACCGTAGCAAAAGATATGCGTTTTAAAACGAAAACACACCAGTGTAAACAGGGCCTGAGAGAGTGCAGTCCACAACAGAGTTTCCGCTACAAAAAAATGGTGCCGGTCAAAGTGACCGGCAGAGGTTTCCTTTAACGGACATTTTGATGATATGCCGGTCAAATATCGCCTATTAATTAGTCAAGCTGAGGAAAACTGGAGGCAGGCTATGTAACTTAAAAAATGACATAATCAGGCTGTATAGAACGCAACATGTTATTATTAGCCTAACTTTCAAATAGACGGAAAAAAACATGAACGTCCGATTGGGGTTAACACCAATTGTTTTTTACTATGGTTTCACACACATTCACTTTTTGAAACATTGAGGCACGGATGTACCAAATACAAATAAATAAAACATCTCCTGTTAACTAGCAGATCATTCATTTAGTTCGCTATTAAATAAGAGATCTAGCGCTAAAATCTGTTGTTTTTGAAATCAAGCTGAGCGCTCGTGTCCGCTGCTATCAGTTGCATAGTTGCACAATCTTCACTCGGACGCGCGTTTCAATCTATCGCCGTTGCGGAGACTCTACACAGGCGAAGCACTGCTACTTGGGCGCAGAGATATCACAACACCTGAAATAAAGCTTGCCACAAAGAACCGGCGAAAGTAATGATTATGCATGAAACATTTAAATTGTTGATAAATTGATAAAGTTGAAGATGCAGACTCGCCATCTTCGCAGTAGTGAACGCGCCTAGAGAGAGAAATGCACACTTCATATGAATAAATTCTTATTTATTAATCCAGGGAAATTTGTTGATGAAACATTGATTAAAATGAAGATAGAATTTATACAAAACGAAATAAACTTTAAAGAAAGGCTTTCTACAAAACAAAACTAAATAAGTGGTCAAAATCATGTCTGACCAATTCCAAATGTTTTCCGATATATAGGCCTAATTGGTCATCTTATGATCCTATCTTACTCATCTCATGCGGTTCCCTTTTCATATAGCCTAATCAACATAGATGAAATAAAAAAATAATCACATTAAATTATTTATAAATATGAAACGTATATTTAAGTTTTTTAACTTATAATAAGCATCACACCGCTCCGCTTTGCTCACATGCTCTCGGTGTATTTTTGCTTTATACATTTTAGGCTTATTCTCAAATTCATATTGTGTTAGGGGGGCGGGATTATTACGCAATTTTAATCGGACAATTTGACCGGAGAGATTTAATTTTGTCGGACATTTCATTTTTTTTTCGGCCAATGTCCGGTAATTACCAGACAACGGAAACCCTGGTCCACAAATAGGGTACAAAATAGAAAAAAATGTGTAAATAAAGTTTTAATATGAAACGTATAAGTATAAAAGTAGGCTATATAAAATGCTCAGAATGGGTCACATGGTTTCATATAACAGGATTGAAGATTTAGCCTAAATCAAGCTAGTTTGGGAGCAAATGTTGGTTTGTAGTTATTGATAAACTAATATTTCCCATAAATTCAATCAACATCAAAATGTGTTTCTTTTATGTAAAACACAGTACACATGGTAGCCTATGATGCATATAATAATGCACCATATAGAAGTATTCAAAAATTTGGAGTAAATGACAGTAAAGGCAACATTTATACATTTATAATGTTACAAAAAAGTTCGTTCATCAAAGAACATTTAAAAAAAAAGCTTTTAGAGGTTTGTATTTTTACGCAAATTTATTCTACAGTGAATTTCCATTTGACAGATTGTTAATGATTAAATACAATGATTTGAATTGTAATGCTTTTTTTTTTTTGCTTTGTTAAAATATACACTCACCGGCCACTTTATTAGGTACACCTGTCCAACTGCTCGGTAACACTTAATTTCTAAGCAGCCAATCACATGGGGGCAACTCAGTGCATTTAGGCATGTAGACATGGTCAAGACAATCTCCTGCAGTTCAAACCGAGCATCAGTATGGGGAAGAAAGGTGATTTGAGTGACTTTGAACGTGGCATGATTGTTGGTGCCAGAAGGGCTGGTCTGAGTATTTCAGAAACTGCTAATCTACTGGGATTTTCACGCACAACCATCTCTAGGGTTTACAGAGAATGGTCCGAAAAAGAAAAAACATCCAGTGAGCGGCAGTTCTGTGGGCGGAAATGCCTTGTTGATGCCAGAGGTCAGAGGGAGAATGGCCAGACTGGTTCGAGCTGATAGAAGGGCAACAGTGACTGAAATAACCACTCGTTACAACCGAGGTATGCAGCAAAGCATTTGTGAAGCCACAACACGCACAACCTTGAGGCGAATGGGCTACAACAGCAGAAGACTCCACCGGGTACCACTCATCTCCACTACAAATAGGAAAAAGAGGCTACAATTTGCAAGAGCTCACCAAAATTGAACAGTTGAAGACTGGAAAAATGTTGCCTGGTCTGATGAGTCTCGATTTCTGTTGAGACATTCAGATGTTAGAGTCAGAATTTGGCGTAAACAGAATGAGAACATGGAACCATCATGCCTTGTTACCACTGTGCAGGCTGGTGGTGGTGGTGTAATGGTGTGGGGGATGTTTTCCTGGCACACTTTAGGCCCCTTAGTGCCAATTGGGCATCGTTTAAATGCCACGGCCTACCTGAGCATTGTTTCTGACCATGTCCATCCCTTTATGGCCACCATGTACCCATCCTCTGATGGCTACTTCCACCATGTCACAAAGCTCTAATCATTTCAAATTGGTTTCTTGAACATGACAATGAGTTCACTGTACTAAAATGGCCTCCACAGTCACCAGATCTCAACCCAATAGAGCATCTTTGGGATGTGGTGGAACGGGAGATTCGCATCATGGATGTGCAGCCGACAAATCTGCGGCAACTGTGTGATGCCATCATGTCAATATGGACCAAACTCCCTGAGGAATGCTTCCAGCACCTTGTTGAATCTATGCCACGAAGAATTGAGGCAGTTCTGAAGGCAAAAGGGGGTCCAACCCGTTACTAGCATGGGGTACCTAATAATGTGGCCGGTGAGTGTAATCTTGAACAGTACTTGATCTGATATATATCAATTCTCTCTCTAAACATTGCTTTAAAATATAATGGCACACCAATTTGTACCCTTTTGGTGGAAAGTGCCTCCCATGTCGTGTGTTTGTGCCAATATTGAGTTTATGGAAATTCAGCACCATTTTCAAAATGTCTGGTCTGATGTAGAGCATGATTGCGTGAATGTGGCGTGTAAATGTTCAAACTCAAATAAGTCAGCTTTATACTCTCGCCACTTTTTGTATGTGTCTCTCTCTCTCTCTCTCTTTATAAATACAAATCTCTCCCCCCATTATCTCTGGAGTGGCTGATCTCCAGGCA